GTTGCTGCTTAGCCTGGACTCCAGCTCCGCATACACAGCCGACATCTGCGGACAAGGAGGCGGGAGAGTCCAGCGCCCTCCGCCTCCACGTGACCCTCCGGTGGCCTCGCGGGCCAGGCCTGGGTGGTCCGAGAAGCAGGGATCTGCCGGGCAAGTGTGGCTCAGTGGTTGAACGTCGACCTATGAACCTGGAGGTCATGGTTCAATTCCCGGTCAGGACACGTGCCCGGGTTGCGAGCTCAATCCTCGTGTAGGAGGCAGCCAATCCATGATTCTCTCTCATCATTCACATTTCTAACTCTCCCTCTCCCCTCCTCTCTGAAATCAATAAAAATACATTTAAAAAAAGAAAGAGCCCTAGCTGGCTTGGCTCAGTGGATAGAGCGTCGGCCTGCAGACTTTAGGGTCCCAGGTTCAATTCTGGTCAAGGGCACATGCCAGGTTGGGGGCTCAATCCCCAGTAGGGGGAGTGCAGGAGGCAGCCGGTCAATGATTCTCATCACTGATGTTTCTATCTCTTTCTCTCCCTCTCCCTTCCTTTCTGAAATCAATAAAAATATTTTTTAAAACAAATAAATAAATAAAAAGTGAAAAAAAGAAGCAGGGATCTGCCCCGGCCCCCCATGACACCACCAGGCGGGCACAGAGGTCTCACCATCTTGGGGTTGGGGGTCTCGGGAAGGGATGTGCCATCGCCTGCCTGGCGCTCGCCCGGGATCAGAGGAAGAGGCACCTCAGGGCAGTCACTGGGACCTGCTGGGAGTCGGGGGGCAGGGAGGGCAGAGTCAGGCACCAGCCAGACCAGGGGGGCCCAGGAGAAAGAACCCGATACCCGCTAGCCCTGCAGCCCAGGAGGGCCGCTGCTCAGCCTGGTCCCCGGGGTTTCTCACTCTGCAGGTGGGGAGACAGCCCAGGTCTCGCCCTCGAACCCTCTCCTGCTGCTGGGTCTGGCCTGGGGCCTACCGCAGGTGAGGCCGGCCTCCAGGCCCTGGGACCGCAGGCTGCGGCGGCACACGGAGGAGGCCCGCAGGGAGCCCCGCGGCTGGGGCTCGGGCACCGGCTCCGGCTCCGGCTCCAGATCCAGCTCTGGCTCCAGGTCCAGCTCCGGCTCTGTCTCTGCTGTGGGACACGAAGGGGAGGTGGGCCCTTGCCCCTCAGCCAGACGAGGGGCAGCCAAACCCAGGGAGGGCGAGGGCAGCAGCTGTGCCAGTCTGTGCCCCGGCCCTGCCTGGCTCTAGGACAGCTGTGGAGGGGGAGCCTGGGGTGAGAGAGCGGTGCCAGGACAGGAGCAGGGGTGGTGCCAGCCTGAGAACAGAGGGGGGAGGTGGCCACAGGGCCTTTTCTCATGACACGAGCCTAGGGCCCCATCATCAAGGTCTCACCTCTGAGCACTGCTGCCTTAGGGACTACCGGGGTGGGAAGGAAGGTCCCAGGTCTAGGCAGATGTGTGAGACACCTGCACCCCGTTTCTTGCTAAAACCCTGGCCCCTCCCCCTGCTTACAGTGGGCCCCTGGGCTAGGGCTGGTGGGCACACGAGGGCCAGCACGTGGAGCTGCAGGCTGGGCCCAGCAGGGGCAGAGCGGCTAAAACAAAGGCCCGGGGTTTGCATCCCGTGGCTGAAACGATGAAGTGCATGGTGTTGTGGGCTCACGGGCACTGACTGGTGTCTGTGTCAGCCAGGTGTGACCCAGCTGCACGCCCACAATCCGGGCCTGCAAACAGTGGCCACACGCGCTTCTCAATCTGTGACACGCTTCCTGGGGTGCCACACAGCCGCCGAGACGCAGGTGGTGAGCTGGGGGGGGTGGGGGGAGGGGTCTAGGGCTGCATTTCTCCTTAAAGCTGGGAAGGCATATCCGTAGGGAAGGCACATCAGTGAGGCCAGGCGTGGAGCCAGCTGGGTGTGTTGGGTATCAGCGTGGCACGTGGGCACATCTGTGTGTGGGGGGCCCAGGTCCTCTCTAATACAGTGGGGCCTTGACTTACGAGTTTAATTCGTTCCGTGACGGAACTCATAACTCAAATTACTCGTAAGTCAAATCAATTGTGAACAAGTGAGACACGTGATGCTGGGCTGATGTTGTAGCGTTCACTGTGACGTTCGCTGCGCCAACTAGCGGTGGGGTATCTGAAGCTGGCTCATAACCCGAATTTTAGCTTGCAACTCAAAGCAAAAAATCGGCCAAGAGACGGCTCGTATCTCGAAAAACTCGTTAGTCGGACACTCGTAAGTCAAGGCCCCACTGTACCTAGCAGGTGAGAACAGGTGCCTGGGTGAGGGAGGGCTGCTCACCTGGTGGGGCAGGGGGCGGCTGGGGGAGGGCTGCTCACCGGTCATGGCGGTGTAGCCCAGGAAACATGCGATCTTCTCATGGCAGAGCTCCTGCTCCTCGTACGTCAGCAGCTGGTAGACGAACTGCCAGAGCACCTGCTTGGCGGGCGTGTCCAGCACCGGGTAGACGTCAACGATGAGGGTGTCGATGTTCCTGGGGGAGGCGCAGGAGCCAGGGGTTCACTACTCAGGGCCTCACCTTAGGGAATGGGGTGGGGACGGATAAGGGGGGCACTTCCAGGCCACAGAGTTGGAGCTCCTGCCCTGCCCCCCTTCCCACTGCCAAGACAGAGAGCTGGGCAGGAAGGCAGGCCCTGGGGACAACTGCCCAGATTCAGGTCCTGCCTCCGCCACGTACCAGCCAAGTGACTTTCTCAGGTTATTTAGCTCTCTGCCTCAGTTTCCTCATCTGTGAAATGGGGATAAAAACGACACCTCTTGCCCAGAGCTGTTGTGAAGACTGGAATGCATGGTGTGTATTGGGAAAGCCGAGCCCCTGTGCCGGGATCAGCAAATGACGGCCTGTGGGCCCAAATCTGTGTTTGTGAAGAAAGTTCTATTGGAACAAGGCCTGCCTGTTTGCTTATAGATTGTCTATGGCTGTTTGCAAGCTACTACAGTGGAGGTGAATAGTTTCAATGCAGACTGTACGGCCCAACAAGCCTGAAATATTGCCTCTCCAGCCCCTCACAGAAATAGTGTGCTGACCTCTGCATTATGAGGAAAAAGCAAAACTGTGTCCTCACACAGGACCTGGCATAAAGATGAACTCTAGGTGGGTAAAAAGCGAAGTGTGAAGATACAATTCTAAACTTAGAAGAGAAAGCAGGAAACCATCTCTTGAGCTAGAGCAGCGGTTCTCAACCTGTGGGTCGCGACCCCTTTGGTGATCGAACGACCTTTCACAGGGGTCGTCTAAGACCATCCTGCAAATCAGATATGTACATGACGATTCAGAACAGTAGCAAAATTACAGTTATGAAGTAACAACGAAAATAATTTTATGGTTGGGGGTCACCACATGAGGAGCTGTACTAAAGGGTCAGGCATCAGGAAAGTTGAGAACCACTAGAGGCAAGGAAGGACTTCGTAAAATGTCAATAATAACAGAAGTGGCAAATGGGAGGGGATAGTGACAATATTCAAAACCAACAAGGAACCAGTACCTCACATATACACGGAACTCCTGCAAATCCGCAAGAACAAAAAGCCCAATAAAACAAAAATGGACAACAGGTCTGAACGGGTAACTTATGGAAAAGAAAATGAAAAAAGTGAAGGAGGATATTAAAGGATGTCTAAAATAATTAATAATTAAAAACCCTTGCCAGGCTGGCATGGCTCAGTGGCTGAGTGTTGACCTATGAACCAGGAGGTCATAGTTTGATTCCTGGGCAGGGCACATGCCCAGGTTGCGGGCTCCATCCCCAGTGTGGGGCGTGCAGGAGGCAGCAGATTCATGATTCTCTCTCATCATTGATGTTTCTCTCTCCTCTCCCTCTCCCTTCCTTTCCAAAATCAATAAAAGTATATTTTTAAATAAAAACCAAATAAGATGTGACTTTATGGCCAAAAAGACCAGCAAAAATAGACAGCTGGATAGTGCCATATGGCGGCGAGGACCGGGCTGGGGGAGCCCTCCTGCACTGCTGGTGCGGGTAAAACCAGCGCCGGGAAGCAGTTCGGCACAGCCTTGTCCAGCTCAGTAAACAAACACCTTAGCATCCGGCAATTTCCTCTCAGACATAAATTTCAATGACTGGTACACAGCTCCCCGGGGATGAGCACAGTGACAGTGACGTTCGGCACAGTGTTACTGCGCCGCAGCCCCGGGAGGCGGCCCGTGTCCGCCGCAGGCGAGGTAAAGAGAGGAGACAGTGGCTGCGGCCCAGGGAACGTGGCTGCAGTGGAAACAGTGTGTTCAATGTCCGCAGAGCCACGTGGACAGATCCAGAGACAGGGCGCTTGGTGGGAGAACAGCCAGACACAGAATGCAGCACAGAGCACATGATGATGTGAAATAAAAACACCACGCGGAACAGCAATGCCCACTGTTCAAGAACATCTTCAGAGGAAACGGTGCCCAGTAAGCGTCGGGAGGGGCGAGGGAGAGGGGGTGGGGCCAAAAGGAAATGAAAGACGGAAGCACCACACCTCCGTCAACTGAGGGGGGGACCAACAAAATGTGTTCTGTCCATGCAATGGAATATTCTCAGCCATAAAAAAGAAACGATGCTACTTGATGCTATAACTTGGATGAACGTTGACAACACTCTAAGGCAGCGGTTCTCAACCTGTGGGTCGCGACCCCTTTGGGGGTTGAACAACCCTTTCACAGGGGTCGCCTAAAACCATCGGAAAACACATATATAATTACATATTGTTTTTGTGATTAATCACTCTGCTTTAATTATGTTCACTTTGTAACAATGAAAATACATCCTGCATATCAGATAATCACATTGATTCATAACAGTAGCAACATGACAGTTATGAAGTAGCAACGAAAATAATTTTATGGTTGGGGGTCACCACAACATGAGGAGCTGTATTAAAGGGTCACGGCATCAGGAAGGTTGAGAACCACTGTTCTAAGGGAAAGGAGTAGACACAAAAATCCACATATTGTACCATTCTGTTCATGTAAAATGAACAGGGAAATGATAGAGACAGCCGTACTCCGTTTGGTTCAATGGATAGAGCATCGGCCTGCGGACCGAAAGGTCCCAGGTTCGATTCTGGTCAAGGGCATGTACCTTGGTTGCAGGCACATCCCCAGTAGGGGGTGTGCCTGA